CAACCATTAGCTGAATGTACTATCAATAAAATTCTGGGTCGCAAGTACTTACCTTAATATTTAAAAAAAAAAAAAAAGGGATTTTAGATAATATAATCAGTTAAAGGGATTAATTACAAATAATATATTTAATAACTTTAAGAATGTATATATAATAAAAAATATATAATAAAGACTTCAAACTCTACAGAAAAGAATAGTTCATGATTTTAATAAATCCATCTTCTTTATAATTATATATCTTTCTATTTTATAATAAAATACTTATATTTCGATCTACTGCTTAAGTGGCATAAGTGAAATAATCATCATTTTTGTATTTTTGCTTACATAACATAGTAAAGTGTGCTGTTACCTGTTCAGTTAATTCTTGATATACTGAGAACTAATGTGGTTGTTTTCTAACTCACCTAATGTATTATGAATGGTTGTAGGTATTGTATTCCAATTTGAGGTTCAAGAGAAAGGTTCTAGCTATAATTTTGATTATAGTAATAGTGAATAGTAGATACAAAAGTTAGTGTATTAGTAAATCATATTGAAAGGTTCAAGGCAAGTAAATTGAAGAAGTTATACCTATAACCTTAATCACACTTATCAAATAAAACTACTTCTTATTGACTAAGCCTGTTCATAGATTATATAAGTTATTCATCATTTAGAGATATTACTAGAGGCTTGCACAAACTGGGCTAAAATTTAAAAATAATATTAAAAACCTTACAAAATTGCAGCTTAGTAAGATAAAAACATAGTAAAAACAGGCCAAACTTCTAAAAAACATAATAAATTTTATTTTGTGAACCAAGTGGATTAGCAAAAATTTAAATTTTAGCCTATACAGATTACTATTTAAATAGTAAATTGATAAACCTTATGATCAGTATAATCTGAACACAACAAAATTGAAACTTAACTTCGAAATGATATGAATAATAATGATAATAATTGCACGATTAATAAAGATTGACAGAATTTTTATTTTTAAAATGTTTTTTTTATATATAAAATAAGAAGGCATTTGATTAATAACCATTATTTATACTTGAAATATAAAAAATAACAATAATCTTAGATTTTTGAATTCACTATTTGATATTTGCTAAAGCAGAAAATTTATTGAACTAGTATTATAAGTATTTTGCTAAGAATGTGATAACTTAGTGAAATAGATAAATTGTCAACCCTCCAAGTGGTAGATTGTAAGTTCAAAACCCACAGACAGTGAAAAATTTGGATAATCACCTATGTAATATTCATATTATGGCAACTGTTCTTAATAATTAGGTTAATATACCTGTAATTATGGTCACATCAGCATGACTGGCAGGTCATGAAGCATCCGTGTAACTGGTTACACAGAGGAATGCAAACCAGCATCAAGCAGTGCAAACCCAAAATAAATCCTTGTAGCTGTGTAAATTTGTAGAAATTGGAGAACAAGAAGTTTACTTAGGAAGACTTGAATAGAGAAGTAATACAGATCTTTGACAGTACTACTGTAAAGGCTAGACCTAAGAAACAAATACCAATGTGAAGTACTTGAATAGACAAAAACCTCTGGATAGGAGGTATCACCAACCAGGCTGCTAGAAGTCCAACCAGGAGAACCAGAAGAAAAGAATATCAGGCTAACCTAATATACCAATGGGCTGATTGTAGTTCTACCAGGCTATCTGGATTGGGAGTTTGAAGAAAAAGCAAAAGTATACTAAAAGTACTAGGGATATGTTGTAAAGTAAGTGCTAGGGTTTGGGTGAACTCTACAAGAGCAAACTCTGTTAATGTTTTGTAGAGTGGGTAGGTAGTTAACAAGGGGGCTCTTGGAGCCTTATAGTCAGATGTCATGCTCTAAAAATAATTGTGTAATAGCTTAACAGATATACAGAAGAGAGGCTAAATGTTAAATTAGATGGCACTTAGATGTACAGGAACTAGGGTGCTAATTGTCTGGGTGCAGTATAGGAATTAGAGTGTTTAATTAGATAGTCTTCTAGTAGATTATAGGTATAGCAGCTAGTGTAAAACACTTGGTCAGACTACTTAAATAGGTAACTAAAAGTTATACATGTGACTAGTTGTATGCTCATTCTGTATAAGTAATATATAATGTATTCACTAAAAACACAATAAAGACATTAGTCGTTATTAACATTAGCCTTAAAAAAAAAAAAAAAAAAAGTATTCTGCTAATCTGTATAATTTTTCATATCACAAATATGCAATGGTTCATTGTACTAATATGAGATAAAACAGTCACATTTTATAAATTTTCACTATAATTCTTCATGTTCTAGGACTTGTATTTTTTCAAAAATGTGGTTTATGCATTCTGCAACTTCACTTAGAACTATGCTAATTCCTTTTGAAGAATCAAGATAGTTTAAAGCAACAGCTATTTCAAATGCAATAGAATTTTTTTCAGTATTAAGATCTGCAAAGGTACAATCAATTATCAAATTAAAATAAGTATAATGCAGATTATCATTAGCATCAATAGGTTGGTTAAGTTTCAAATAAGACTTTTTTATAATATCAGCTTCTTTGAACTTTTGTTCTTCTTTATGCATAACCTGTTAATTTCCTGTTTTTGGTTTTATAAGATCTGAAAATTCACTGTAAATAGTATCTTTAATTCATTAAACTATGTTACTTCTTTCTTGACAGCAAAACCACTAAGTCTGATAAAAACAGATAAGATTAATTAACTATACAATTAAAATTTATTATTACAAGGTACTTACAAAAGAACAGATATTTTTGTTAAAATAGTGTTTTCAACTATAATATTTTATTTTATTTTGGAAATTAACCTTTTTTATATCTAATAATATATCATAATATATCTTTATCAAGTGTTCATCAGTTGGATACTTTGTTTTTTCGATTGCAGCATAAATTACTTCACCAATTATATCCTATTACAAAGTATTATAGAAAATTATATTATATATGAAATTAAAATATCACTTAATACAAATTTAAATATTTTGACTTATTAAGTAATACAAATTCAGATGCTATTATTATGTTCATATGATTTTACATATTATCATTAATATTAACCTTATTAAAACTACAAACAAAATTTTAAAATATCACTGTCAATATAAATTTAAAACCAATCCGAATGGTTAATATTAATAAGAGTTACATGTATATTTAATAATTATTATACCTCTATTTACTTCGACTCCTTTTCTATATTATTCTCAGAACTAATTTTCAAGTTTACATATATTCATTAATTTTTGTTTGCATTTCTTGAATAATAGTAAACATTTGAAGCTGCATACCATGCATACTTGTAATAGTTGATGCCAATCCTAAAAAATAGAAATATATATACAATGATATAAATTAATCATTATTATTAGAAAAAACAAATAGTAAATAAACTTATAGATTTTTTTCTGCAAATTTGCATTTTCATTTATTGTTTCTTTATTTTTTTACTTAAAATTTGAATGAGTTGACTTATTTTCTAAAATATTATCGTTAATAGGACTCATAGGATTCTTATTATCATTTGAAATATCTGAATCATATAAATCAGCATTATTATCATTAGACCTATCTAAGTGGCTTTCTATAACTACATGTTCAGCAGTCAACATATTCGATCTTATCTGAATAGAACTGGAGATGCTTGAAGTGCTAAAAATGCTTGAAGAACTTAAATACTTGGAGTGTTTGTTTGTTTTTCAGCAAGTTCAATGAAAGGTAAAGTATCTTTTGCACTTTTGCACATAAGTACAGCTTTTTTTCTAGTGTGATCCATCTTTGCAACAAAGATAAATATCTGCAATACAAGTTACAAATGAATTAAAGCTCACTTTAATAAGCTTTATAATACTAAATTTCACTCATATTACCAATTGCTACTGTCTTACTAAAAAGCCTTTGACATTATATTTAATTTATTAGATCCTTATTTTGAAAGTAAGAGTTGGTTCTTTTTTTTTGCTTTGCTTACAAATTTTGATTATTACCAATTATATCACAATTCGACATGCCATTTTGACTTTTAAATTAATTGATTACTTATTATTTATGCAAATTAATTATTATACTTCGATATACTTTTATACAATACTAATCACTGCATAATTATTTGATTATAAATTTTTCCTTAAGTATACTAAAGATGGGCAAGATAATAATATAAGTAATAATTATTTATTTTACTTATTACGCAAAAAAACTATAAGAAATAATTAGAAATAATAAATAATATTATATTACTAAACTTGCCCATTTCTAAAGTATATGACTTTTGATCCTGATTCAGATCAATCATCATGTGGATAATTTTGGTCATGTAACTACTGATTCTATATTAATTAGTAATAAATTATGCAATTATATAATTATTTAGACAAGTTTATGCATGCAGAGTTTATTTTAATATTCACACTATAATTAATTAAATTGGGCAAATCAAATGATTATTACTTGTTATAGTTAAGTTCTTATTTCAGGTAAAAATAATAAAATACATATTTTGCAAATCACAAGTGGTATCAAAAATAGTGTTTGTTAAAAGATAATTTCAGTATAAAATAAGAAAGAAAAAAATCTTACATTGTGTGATATTAAGTTTTAGTATTACATTTAAAGTAGTTTATAACTTGTGCAATAATATATAAATAGTAAATCTCAATAATTATATTTAAGTAATAAATTATTCAAGATGCCTAAATGTTTATATTGTAAGAAAGTTTTTATAAATCAGAAAGCATTAGGTAATCATATAAAAAAACATTTGAATGATAGTGATTAAGATTTATCTTTGCCAAATAAAGTGATTCATACCAATTTGGTTGAAATAACAAACAGAGTTCTTAATAATCAAAACAAGCTTGAAAGGCAAAATTTATCTGTAAAAAAAGATATGAATTATAAGCAACATTGTTTTAAATATAACTTAAATAATGGTTTAGAAGAGATTAATTCTAATATAAACAGCTTTATTGAAAACCAAAATCCTAGTATCTCATCTTTCAATTGCATAAATGATATTTGAAATTATGAATCACAGAATGTTAAATTTTTTGATTATAATAATTTTCAAAACAATACATTAGATAGATCTATTGAAGAACAAATCATTGAACTTTTTAATCAAAGTGATTCTCAAAGTAATGATCAAAGTGATTCTCAAAGTAATGATCATAGTGATTTTCAAAGTAATAATCATAATAATTCTCAAAGTAATAATCATAGTAATTCTCAAAGCAATATATCTGATGCATAATCAAATTTATTAGACATTACAAATGTTAACTTTAATAAATATGCTAAATATGATAATTTGTATTCTAAAAAATTAAAAGGTTCTGAAGATATATACCAAAAATTTCTGTCAGAAGGATATGCAGAATTTATACATCTAATAATACAGTTTTATGTACAAGATCTACTTGCAAATGCATTTATATGATTTTTTAACAAGTATTCAAATCATGATGATCATTTATTACTATTAACATCACAAAGTGGGCAGACATTTATCAAGGATTTTAATCTTCCAAACTTTGGTTGGAAAAAAGTAACTATTTTTAAGTATAAAGGACTAAAATATATGCTTGAGTTTAGAACAGTGCTCGATAGGATATACTAACTCTTAATTAACAAGAGTATTATTGAAGAATTCATATTTAAATATAAGTTATTATTTAATAATGTAAATAAATTTAATATAACAAGGTAAAACCTGTAGTATGAATTTGTAAAATCTGCTATGTAGACCATATAAGGGTAAAATCTGCTTTTTTATAATAAAAACACAAATTTTATCCTAACATGATCTACATAGTAGATTTTACTAATTCACAACACTAGTTTTACTCTATTCTAATTTAATTATTTGAAATTTATTTTATTATTATTATTATTATTATTATTTAATAATATTTTTTTTTATCTTAACAATTAAAGGTATTAGATCAGTGTTAGTATTCAGATATATGTAATTCTGACTAGTGGAGAAATATTGAACAAAATATTCTATTGAAAACATATATTATGCCAATTATTTTCTATTTAGATGCTACTTTTTGTGATTATTTAGGCAAGGCATTGAGGCATTCTATATTTATGATACTTGAAAATATTCTCTTGGCTTATCATAACAAGCTTAATGCCAAAATTTTACTTAGTTATATTTCAAGTCTTAATTATTGTAGCAAGTCTAAAAAAAACCAGCCTCATTCAGACTAGCAGCATGCAGATTATTTCATCATGTACTTTATGCAATGCTTAGACCATTAAGGTGTTTAAGTTATAATGATGTTTATTTATATGTCAATAATGGTCTCAAATAGTTCTTTCTGTATTTGGCAATTATAATCTCAGATTGGCCTGAAGTATATGCAATGTGTATTACTTATGAATCCTTAAACTCTTTACATTCATATCACTCTTGTCTAGTTAATTATGATACGATGAATAATGTTCATCTCAAAAAAGAAAATATAATTATCTGTAATGAAAACATAACAAAAGAGTCTTTGTGTTAGAGCATTAGTAAACAAATTTTAGTACACTATATAAGAAATGCTTTATAGAAGCAACTATAAGTAATTCTAAAGATTTAAAGTAAAATAACATGTTAAAATTAAAATAGCATATGGGCTAGATGCTAGAAAAACAAAATCAATAATTTTTTAAAAAAAATGTAGTTTTTTTTTTAAATATAACTAATTTTTTTTTTTTGAACTTTGGTGACAATGCCAGTTGGTTTATTAGCTTTAATTTGATATAGTACAAATTTATGGTTACATTTTTAGGATCAATTATTACTAGTACTATATACTATCTAATTTTACACTATTGACTTCAGCTAGTTATCCATATGACACCTAAGTGCATGTCTGCTGTATGCCTGCACGCAGTTATCTTAACAATTACTTGTGGTCAGAGCATACTATTAAACTGCTACACAGACAAGAATATCTACTGAACTTAATATAATATCCCAAATGCCAGGAGTACTATCTTCTGTAAATCATACTTATATGTCCCACTTATATGTTTTACCTAGTCTTGTTTCTTCTGCCTCTTAATCTAACTATATCTAGTATTACCTTGTTCTCCACATTTCTTACATTTTTGTCACTATATTACTTCCAAATTGGTCCTATTTTGGTATATTTAATTTTTATGATCTTCTCATCTTTGGTATGCCTATTATTGATTCCTCTAAGGTGTTCTGACAATGGTTCAAGATCTGCAAAGAACTTATATTTCAAGCCAGATCTGCTGTCACTATTGGTCTTTTGACCAATCTGTATCTCAAGCCAGGTCTGCTGCTGCCATTTCTGCAGATACCTCAGGTCTTAACATCATACAGTAACTCGATGCTGCATTTAACTTCCAACATGGTACTCCCTTCTATAGTAAGAACTGAAACTTGTTATGCTTACAAACAGGACAATTCTGGTTATACCTAGGAAGTTTCTTCAACCCTAGTAATACTAAATTACTATATATAGCAAGCTTTCAGCTTATTCGATAATACCTGCAGGACAATTCTGGTTATGCTCCAGAAAGTTACACTGACCCCAGTAATGCTATACTACCTTGCAAATCTTATCTCATATTGGTTGGTTAATCCTAGTCTTGTTTGTTATAGACTTCTATATAGGTATGATTAGGAACTCAATTTGGTACTTTTATATTGCACAAGGAAGTTATATGCCAACCTCCAAGATTTTTCTCTTCTATAATTAGATTATTTGGCTGTACCAGAGGTGCTTCTAATTTTTAGTTAGACCAATCCTTTATTATAGTCCATCCTTGTGTTTACCACTTCTCTCACTATTCTAGTCTTAGTTACTTTTAGAATACTCTCCCAATCAAATCCTTTTCTTAAATTCTAATTAAGACTTATTTGCACAATCTGTTAATTATTCTTTTAAGCAAGTACCTCACAAGTTGGGTGCAGGGATGTTGGTACTGCCTATATTAGAAGATATAAGAATGTTGGTGCTGCTCTAGCCTAAAAAACTTACATGCACAATCTTTTCATAACTATAACCTTCTGTAACAACCACTTGTTATGCATAGTGCCTGCACTTTATGATTGGGTCTCTTTCCAGGAATTTATATTTTCATCATTGTACTGCACTTGAACTTAACCATAGGGCTTCACATTCAATTACAGGCTCTTTAAGGTTACAGAAGCTAAAATTTTTCAATTTTGCCTCTAGCTGAATTTGAACTATTGACATTGACTATGAAGAGTATAGGAGCTTAACCACTAAGCTATAAGACCTATACTCTCGAATATAACTAATTCAAAATTAAGAAATAAATATTATTTTATTAATAAAATTTTATAATATATTTTCTTAAAGTTTATATTTTTATTGTTATTCAATGTAGACTATAAAATATTATAATTTAATATAGATTTTATAATTTAAAAATCAATTTTTCGCAAACTTTTTTTTTTTTAGTTAATTTGGTCTTTTTTATATATATATATTAATTAATAACAAATTCTTTTAATAGGTATTTTAATGTTTATACTATGTGCATGTCTGATTGCATACATTATGCAGACTTTAGGCTATTTCAATATCAACTATAATTTATAGTTGAGTTATTAAATTTAAAATATGGCAATGATATAACTAAGATTCTTAAAGAATGTCTTGTCAAAATTTCTTGATATTCAAAACTCAAAGTTTTTAAAAATAGATTTGAAAGATTTAATCAGTTGATGGCAGCAGAATACAGAGACCTAATGAAAATAATGTTATTTATCTTAGATGAGTTAATTGTCAACAAAAAGCTTAATAAAAATTTATATGATCTTTATTATTTCTGGATCAATATGTATATGTGAAGTTGTTAGCCTAAATTTACCAAATCTGACCTTGCCAAATTTGAAGTAAGTTCTTACTAAAATATGTAATACACTATTATTATTTTAATTTTATTTATTTTTATTTTTTTACAGAACTCAATTGTTACATAGAGTGACTTATTTATAAAATTAATGTTTAAGTTTTCTTTATTGAACCTAAACCTATTGAAATTACATAGCTGGTAATTTTATTTAATATCATCAATTTGTTAATTTGGAGCTGTGAATAGATTTACAACTGAGACATATAAGGTGTTATATAAAACTAATGTCAAGCAACCATACTGCATGACAAACAAATGTTATATAAACACACAAATGCAAGTAATTGTAAGTATTTTTTTATTTTTTTAATGCAAACAAATATCTGTTAGATTATTTTCAACTGATATAATATAGTATAATGATTTACAAATAATGGACAATTAATCTTATTTGGTTACAAATTTTTTTTAAGGTGTTTCATCAAAACATCTTTATGTCTTTTGTCTCAAAGTTAAGATCTAACAATAGATCATATAATAGAGTTACTTCAAAAAAAGCTATAAAGCAGATAACTTAACATACAATTGACCAAGTTATAAACTAGTTATCAAATGCAGATAATTTATAGATATACAGTTTTAAACAACTTGAGCATTGCATTTATGATTATTTTCAAAGTATCAAAAGTTGAACATCACATGATATTAAAAATAAGACTATTTGGATTAAAGTCTTTGATTTTGCTTATTTGAATAATGATAATAGAGTGATCATCTGTGCATCTCCAAATTATTATAATCAAGCAGCCTTTTCAAATGTATGTATTGAAATAGACAAATTAGAACAAGATGATTATTTAACAGATTATAGGTTATGTTATGCAAAGGTATGCATCAGTATTAATTAAAGATATGAACTTAATTATAATATAAAATAGCATAATAACAATATTTTAATTAATTTTGAGGTTCTTTTTATTATTCAGATTACTTCACCAAAATTAGATCAGAAACTTGAACTTGCTCTTGTTCATTAGTATGAGTTTGCATATCTATATGATATAAACAAACACTATTTTTATAAATGCGTAATTTTTAAACATGTTGAACATTATACTTTAATTCTTATTACTACAATTGCAAATACTGTACATATCATATCAAGGTTTAATGAACCAGGCATTTTTTTTGTAAATAGATATATTAATTAATAAGAAATTATATATATACTTGTTAATTGAATATTATTTTAATAATTATTATTACTACTTAATCAAATACATATTTTTTGGTTTAAAAATTTAAATTAGTACTGTTTGTTATTAATTAGAAGCAACTACTAAACAAAAGCAACCTTTCAGTTTCTGGTAGCAAAAATTTGACTAAGTTTTTATATTT